AATTCATTTTCCTAAATGCTTCGAATACTTTCAATATATATCTTTTATATTCCTTTTCTTTTTAAAAGAAGATTAGAATATTATCTAAATAATAAATTATAAATAAATTGAATTTTTTAAATATCTTATTATTTTATTATTGATATATAATTAATATATTAATTAAACTGAATAATATAATTATATATTTTTATAAACCCAATAATAATATAAAAACTATCTTTCATTTATAATTTTTTTTTATTTATATCAAATTGAAAATATTTCTTTGATTCAATTTTATATAGATTATAATTTTATTCAATTTATTCCTGAATTTTTAGATTTTTGATATTGAATATATATCTTTAATTATTTTATTGTTAATTCGATAATAATCTTTATAAAATCAGTTATTTAAATTATCTTTTTTAAATATTAATAATATATTGAATATATAAAAGGATTTAAATTTTTTAATCTATTCTTTTTTTTTAATTTTAATCTTATATTGTTTTATACCTTTATAATATTAAGATTATATAATTTCAATTTTTCGATAAAAAATATAAATCCCTTTTTGAAATTGATTTTATGATTTTAAGATTTATATTTTAATAAAGTTTTTAAATTTCATAAATTTTCAAAGAACTTGATAAATCTTTTATATTATATTAAAATTCTTTTTTTATCTCTTTTTTTTATAATAATTAACCTTTTATATATATACATTTGAATCTATATAATACCAATTCCAAAACTATTATAAATCCTATTTTATTTATAAATGATATATTACAATATAATTTAATTCAGCTTTCTCTTCTAATTCCCTTCTTACAATATACTATCAGGATATATATATCTCGATCTATCACTTTTATAATATCTTCAATTTTTAAATTATATTTATTATATTTTTATATTTTATTAAAGAATAAAGAATTTATATCTATAATATATCTTCTAATATTGTTTATCTTAATATTTTCCTTAAATTTTATATAATAAATATTATTATATATTATTATATAAAATATTAACAAAATAAAATAATTATAGATTCTATATTTTTTATAAAGTTTGTTTTTTCTTTTATAATAACACCAAATATATTTTTTATCTAGATAATTGATTAGATATTATAACTCATTTTCCCAAAATAAATAATAAAACTTAATTAATTATTGATCCTTTTCGAATTCCTTGATTGATTCTTTGTGTCACGATTCACGGTTTTTATTATAGTAGTATTATTGTTATCGATGATTTATATACCGATTACAAAAGGGGTGTGATTTAACTGTTGCTTTCGGGGGTCCTGATTACTTAAGCCTAGGACCCCAGGATTCCTAGGATAAATATTCTAGACAATTATAATAGAATAAAACAAGTGTCCTATTTAATTAATTGTAATAGAACTATCACCTTAAAGGATATCATATCCTAAGACTATAATTCCTAAAGAGAAAGCTTTTGGGATAAGTGTTCTAGGAAAAGAAAGACCTTAGAGTAAAAGAGGTTTCAGGATTAATTACATGATATACTAGCTCTGCTAACCAGCTAGCAGAGTTAGCATCACAGGAATGCTAGCCGTGCTAGCCAGCTAGTATAACTAGTATAAGAAAAGAGATTAGTATATAATCAGAATAGTTTTATAGTTTAAAAGCTTCATGCTTAATTTAATTATCAATTAGTTTACCTATATTCCAATTGATCTAGTAACATATTCATCTTCGAATAGATAACCAATGATTATTAATCTTAACCTACAACTACCAACCAGACGAAAACCTGAGGCAGCCGCTGCCTCTACCAGATCGTTACACTTTGTTTTCTAATTTGAGGTTTTTTGAAAGTTCTTCTTTATAATCGATACTATTCTTAATACTAATTCTAGGGTTTTGATTATTGATATTTAATTTCTTTAATTATTCGAAATTGAATGGAAATAAATCTTTTTCCAATAATCCCATTTCTCTCGAATTTTCTTCTAAAATCTTTATTTCTCAAGAATCTTGTTTTCTGTTTTCAAATTTTATTTATTTTCTATTTTTTGTAATAAATGATTTTTTTTTTTGAAAACAATCTTAAAATATATATCTTTTTTTCCTATAAATAGATATAATATAAATTATTCTTTTTATATCTTTTTTTTTTTTAGTATTTAAATTGTTTGATTTTATATAACATTATTTAATATTATCTAATTTTATTAGATTGTTAGTATTATAATATTTATTTTAATATTAAAGTTTTTGAAACTTCTTATTTTTCTAAATAATTCTTTTCTTCTTTATTTGTTATTTATAAAATCAATTATTAATAAAAATAAAAGTTTCGATTAATTTAGAAAGATTAAATAATTTTGAAGTTTTTGTTAATTCATTTTTGATAATATCTTTCAATCTTTTATAGAATTATAACTTTAGATCATTATTATTCTATATAATATACTCAATATATTATTGAAATTTGATAATATAAATTATAATTGACCTACTCTATTTAAATTATTATAATACTTTTTCAATTATATAATTAAGATCTATTTCCTCGAATGCTTTATCGAATCCCTATCTAAACGATTTGTAATTGAGAAAAAGATGATGAATCTCAAATTTTATATTTTTGTTTAATTGATTATCGATAATCTTAATTATTAAATTATTAAAAAATAATTCAATTCAATTGAATATAGTTTTTTGGAAAAAGAAGATTAATTATAAGATTTTTTGTATTGAAATCAAAAAAAGTTGTTTATTAAAAGTATAATAAAGATTAGTTTATATAATAAAAGCTTAATGCTTATTATAATCTTTATAGAATAAATTAAAGATAAATATCTGAATTATTTGTTTGTATTCCATTATTGTAACAACCTGTACTAAGGCCTTGATTGAGTTAAAAAGAGATGATTCGATAAATTATTGATTGAAAACCATTATATTATATATAATTTAATTATAATAATACTCAAAATGTAATGATCTAATTGAGATAATAGTTATCTGAAGTTTCGTATAATTGATAATTGTAAATTAAGATTAATAATCATTAGTTATCTATTTGAAGATAAATATATTACTAAATCAATTGAAATATAAATAAACTAATTGATAATTAAATTGAATATAAAACTTCTAAACTATAAAATTATTTTGATTATATACTAATTATATTAATTGATTAATATAACTGGTATTCTTGTAATATTAATTCTATTAATTAATTAACAAAGCTAATATATTATATAATTAATTCTAAAGCCTTTCCTTTTCTGGAATATTTATTCCAAAAGCTTTCCCTTCAAAAATTATAATTCTAGAATACAATATTCTTTAAAATAATTATTTTATTTCAATTTATTAAATAGAATACTTATCTTATTCTATTATAATTATTTAAAATACTTATTCTAGGAATCGTAAGATCCTAGACTTAGATAATCAGGACCTTTGAAAGTAATAATTAAATCACATTCTTTTTATAATCGATATATAAATCACTGATAACAATAATACTATTATAATGAAAACTATAATTCGTGACACTATACTTCTAAAAGCTTCAAAAAGTCTATAAAAGTTTATATTCTTAAAAACTCTCAAAATAAATTAATATATAATCAGAATAATTTTATAATTTAAAAGTTTTATACTCAATTTAATTATCAATTAGTTTACTTATATTCCGATTGATTTAATAATATATTTACCTTCGAATGAATAATCAATAATTATTAATCTTAACCTACAACTACCAACTATACAAAACCTCAGGCAGCCGCTGCCTCGACCAGATCGTTACAACAAGATTTACTTGATATAAATGATAAAAAATGAGAAACTCACTTAAGTGAATTGCAATCCTGACAATATGATTGGTTTAAATACCCCGGTAAATAAATCTAATGAAAATGTAAAGTTTAAAAAGTTTATAATAAATTTAAATATTGAATATATATATTAAAGTGTAGATAGAATATCGATTTATTTTTGATAATTGAAAAATAAAAATTTTATTTAAAAATAATAATTATAATATTTTATATTATTTATAATATTATTTATAATATTATTTTGTATTAACTAAATTAAATTAAATAAATAAAGTTGAATTGAATAAATAGAATTGAATGATTTTAATTGAATTGTGAATTGAATTGATGATTTTAATAAAGTTAAAAAAAGTTCGAAGTCAGATTTGCTTGAGATTATAAAGCTTATATTAAGCTTTTTGTTAGATTTATTTACCGGGGTATTTTAGACCAATCAGATTATCAGGATCGCGACTCACTTAAGCAAGTTTCTCATTTTCTACGACCTACACCGAGTAAATTACGGTACGCTAAGCGTACAGCAAGATTTTGGTGTCGGCAGGCCGACAATAAAATGTCACGGACCTCGTATAAAGGACGATCACGTGATTCCAATTGATCGACAATTGGTGAGCTGGTAGTCTGTGCACTTGAGTTTCGATTTACCCTTTTTAGTATAGGATTATAGTCGCCTTAATAACCGATATACACAACCGTGCAGCTACCGTATAGGTATTTTGTATATAAATATAGATGCTCCCTACGAGCCATAGTTTTCAGTTGTAGATTCTAAGGAATATAATTGACCCTGTTTATTCAGCTCTTATGAGGCTCTTGTACGCCACATAAAATTTAAATAAGTCAAAAAGCCAGCGGTCCCGGGAGCGCAGGTCCCTGGTAAGATCTTACTTGAGAGTTATGATCTTGAGTGTGACATTGATAGAAGAGATGGTTATCCAGAATAATAGAATTACATGAAAATCGACTATTACATGAGATAAGAACAGAGTGATGCAGATAGGAAGCCAAGTTCCCGGACCTCTTTGGGGTAACGCGAGCTGGGTAGCTAAAGCACCAGCTCAATTGGTCCGGGGGGAGACGGCAGAAGTAGCACGGTGATTATCATCATCTGTGCAACAGCGTACAAAAATATATATTTGCGAGATAATCTCCGGAAATTAATGTCTTAGCATCAAGCTTAATACTTTGTTTTTTATCATTTCTTCTCTGTCATCTTATCATTTCCAATCCAATTTATTATCACTTCCAGTTCTGTTGTACCTCACTGCCAATTATCCATTTCAATCGCCATCATATCGAATACCACACCACACCACACCATAAAAAATGTACATCACATCCCGCATCCCACTTCTCCTTCCTCTATTTCTTCTCCCAGGAGTCTTTTCCTGGTCTCCATTCTCTCCAAGTTATACCTCTCCAAGCTATGCTTCTCCAAGCTATACCCCTCCTCCTTCAGTATCATACATTTATCCACCTCTCGAACAAATCCGCTACACACTCGCTTTTGAAACTTTTCTGCTCGATGCCAAGAATTGGACTGCATTGAATTTGATCTATACAACTGATGCGGTCGCGAACTTTAGTAGTTTGGGGGCTGGTGTTTGTATGTTTTTTTTATTTCTTCGTAGCTTTTCGTGCGTGCTTCGAGATAAAGATTTGGGGCCGCAGTGGTTATAGCGGACAAGATAGATTTGATGAGAGAATTGAAGAAAATGAAAGCAGAAAAAGAGCAGAAGAACAAAAATAACTAACAATTATTCAAAGGGACGGGAAGAGACGAAATCATCGTAAATGAACAAAAGGCTTTGGGGGCAGTGGCACATGGTATTCATCAAATAACCAGCAGTGCTATTTTGATCAATCCTGGAAATCGTGGTGAAGCGCATGTTACGACTTAGTATGTATTACTTTTTTCTTCTATTATCTCAGCAGCGGTTCCAGCAAGGTAAGACACGTACTAACGGAGTACGAAAGTTATACTTTCAACCATTTCGACACAAATGCGGACAAAACAGCACAGCATATATTCTCCTCATGGTTTAAATATGAAGATCAATGGGTGGATACTGGATCCTATGATGGAAGTCCGAGCTCGTGGAGAGTAAAGAATAGACAGGTAACTTTGGTAGGCGGGTCTGTTGGAGGAGATTTCGGGATTGAGAAGCCTTAGTGGTGAAGGCAGAGAGGAGATGGGAACGCGGTGGTAGTTGAGAGAATATTAATGAAGACCTGGTTGGCAGATGTAAGGGAATTGCGAAAATGCGTGCACATTGCATGGAGATTGAAGGAGAAAAAGGAAAATTCAAAAGCTGCAGCGAGAAACGAGCTTTTCTGTTTCTCAGTAATTTAATGTAATATCTTCATGTGTATTAATAGCCTTGTTCATTTTGTCATGTTGTTTAGTTCAAACGAACGGACCAAAAAGTCCTAAAGTCAATCTGATAAAACAATCTACCACTCATCTGATACCGCTCCGAATGTATATGTGACGCATTTATTTTCATCTCTTTCATACCCAACCGTGTTTACTCACGAGTCAGCAAGTAGTTATTTGGTTGAAAAAGAAACAAATATAACCATCAAGCATTGCCAAACTTCACAGCCCAGCTTGATATCAAAATGAAAAAAGGTTGAAAGTCAATGCTAGAGCCATACACTTGCAATAAAACAGTAGCGTCTGTCACTTCATTATCACGTAAACTCGAATACGTGATCGATTCCTCTGCTTTTTTGAGCATCTCGTGGATATGAACTATCATATTCCCTGATACATTTATGGCTTGGTTTCCTGCGCCCTTTCAGCACAGCAATATTCTAGAGTAGAGAAATGTATATAATGGAGAGAATCAGACCTAGCAAACGCCAAATGCTCATTGCTACCTTCGCGAAAGAAAGAGCGGCTTGCAGTCTTTCTTACATAACCACCTTGATGAAGAATCACTTGATTAGCATGACTGAAAACCAATTAACAAGTACACGTAATATACAAAGAAGACAGTAACTGCCACATAAAAAGTAGGATTATCTCGAGCTCTTTAGGCTTTAGCTAACATGAAGAAAAACTATGAAAGATGGTCTTGTATGGAAAGCCCCATGTTATCGAAATCCGTGGCCATTTCAAGTCCATCGACATCAAAGGAGTTGGAGATAAGAATGCCTCTAACATTTGCATCCCAAATCCAAGCCATATCTCTCCAAAATATATGAGTCAAGACTCAGCAAAATCCACTCCGGGCACACAAAGATCAGGTACGATACCTATACGGAATCCGCGAAAACATTCACCTGAAAACTCAAACCTGTTACAACTCATCACCTATTTCACAAAGCAAGGAACCCTTTTAAAGATCTGACAATAAATCAAAATATACATATATTAACGTGGGTGGGAAAATAGAGCTCGAGGTGCTCAATTCCTAAAATCAAACGTGAAGATAAAGCGGTGGGAATAAACACTGTGGGACCTTAGGGATGGCTAACTTGATAAGTTCTGGGACAAAATTTGAGCGCTCATCGTTTCGTGACTCGGCATGGCGAGAAAGAGTATATGAAAGCGGTCGGATAAAGATAAAGCGTTGAATGGAATTTAGAAGGCACAATGTAAGAAGGGAGAAGAGACCTTGGAACTTTGCGCTGCATCCAGCTGATTGACGAAATGGTATTGGGAAACTTTTCCCAGCATATAATATATGATTTAGTAAGGAAACGACATCCTCCAATACGCAAAATCCAGCACGTTAGGTAGCGAACTCCTTAAAGTCCGCCCAGATAACGTCGTTCCTGAGACACCGATCCAAAGTTACATAGTCCCCATTTTTATAGCTAATATGTCTAGATCTTCAAGATTACATTATTTGATATCCTATTTTGCTAGCGGTTTCACTAGTTTCTACTGCATTAATTCATATCCAAATGCTTTTCTAGCATTTCTTTCCGACCTGGTATATATATCACTTCCCTCGTTTCGAATTCCGACGCATTCCTCATTAATTCTTTATACCACATGCTCGCTGCTACAAATCAATTCCACATTATTGGCATCCATTATAAAAGAAAAAGGCTGGTGGCACACGTTGCCGCACTAATTTCTCAGATGTCAGTAAGATTCTTTATAAACTTCCACTCGCATCTTCATATTTCCACGACCATGAAGTAACATACTCTTCGTCGTTCAACTTCGTCAATTCACAGTACATCCGCTTCGTTCCCAAACTGCCTTGGAATAAATTTCCTTGGTGTAAGTCCAATTGCCGGCGCTTCATCCCTCTTAACTTTCTCCTCGGCTGGTACTGGTATTGGCACTGGAGCCTCCTCTCTTTTCACCGCGTTATCCCTATTATGATTGAACTTCGGACCCTTATTATGCGTAACGTAATGTGTTCGTGTATATGGAGATCGATGTCCTCCCTTCAAGATGTTGGGGCGAACTCCACCTACTACCCCGATGAGCGATACCAGAGAAAGAAGGCAGATGAGGCCGAGTAGTATTTTGGACCTGGGAGGTAGCTTCTTGACTTTCGTGAAAACATTTTGGAAGGAGGTAGTAGTCTTGATGTGCGAGGATTGGACGGAATTCAGGAGGGAGTTCTTCCACTGCGAAGTCTTGTAGTATATGGGCTTGTGTGGATCTTCCGAGTCCGTGATGATGATTTGAGGTGGAATATGAGGTTGATTGTGCGTAGGGAGCGAATTGCCTAACTGGCGGGAGAAAGTGCGTGCGTGAACCATTGAAAAGGTGCGGTAGTGGAAAGGATCAGGTCCTTTCTGGTTTTATTGAGGTAAGGGACTGGACTGGAATAGATTTTCGTCGACAACTGTAGTACTCGGTATTGAACGTAAACGACGGAATATATAATCACAGGATTCTACAAAAAATGGTACAAAGGAAGTGTAAGTTATTAAGAGAAGAGAAGAGGAAGAGACTGAGATGAGATGAACAACACACAAACCCGAAACCAAAAGCTTCAATTGAGTACGTACAAGCAAAGAAAGGAGATGGAAAGGTCAGTTGAGGGTCCAGAACGTGTAAGAACCAATCGAACCAATTCATGATGATCCACTGAGATCTATAGTAGAACCCCGTTATGCCGGACACGAAAAATCAGACCTATTTTCGGCTCCAAAAGTGGTCCGTGCATATTCTTTGGATCATTAAATCTAATTGATTAATATAAACTTTTGAAATTTTTTCGAATATTCTTTTATTAAATTTTAATTTTAAATTTTGAAAAAACAATTAAATAATTTAAAATTAATATATATTTATATAATTTTAATTTGAAACTTAAAATAATATAAAATAAAATTTATATATCAAATTGAAAATAAAGATTAAATTAAAGTTTAAAAAATCTTAATATTTTAATTAATTAATAATATTTTTATTAAATAAAAAAATTTGATATTTATAATAAAAATTTAAAAAATTTAATTATCGACTTATTGATTTTATAATCTTGTTATATATAAGGTTTATTTAATAGATGTTATAGACCTTATATAAAAGATAATTATATTGTAAAAGTGGTAGGTCGAGATATGTGCGTCCCGATAGCACATTGTAAGGGAATTAAAGAGAAAGCTGAATTAGATTACATTATAATATATCATTTATAAATAAAACAAGGTTTACAATAATTTTGGGATTGATATTATATAGATTCAAATATATATATATAGAAAATTGATTATTGTAAAAAGAAGAGGTAAAAGACTTTTCTTTTATATCTAACTACAGAAGGTTATATAATTGACTAGCTAAAACCTTTATATATTTGGTTTATAATTTCAACTTTCTTATAATATGATTCTAATTGATCGATAATTTCTATTAGTGAGCTAGTGGACTGTGTATTTAAATTTCGATTCATTTTTTTAATATAGAATTATAATCACTTTAATAATCAATATATATAATTATACAATTATTTTATAAATATTTTAGTATTACAAAGGATACAATCTAGATCATATAGAAGTGGTCTGGATCCTCGAATAGTTTATAACTAGATATTAAATAAAAGTTTTAAAATAATATTAATAATTACAATTCATAATTAATAATAAAATATACTAAATGATTGATCTTAAATATAAAGTTTTATAAAAGGAATCCTTTCTAGTTATATAAACCTTTGTATTAATTGGATCATAAGAATCTAATGGATTGTAACGATCTAGTAGAGGCAGCGGCTGCCTCAGGTTTTCGTATATGTAACGATCTGGTCGAGGCAGCGGCTGCCTCAGGTTTTCGTATGGGTGGTAGTTGTAGGTTAAGGCTAATAATCACTGGTTATTCACTCGAAGGTGAATACGTTACTAGATCAATTGGAATGTAGGTAAACTAATTGATAATTAAGTTGAGCACGAAGCTCTTAAACTATGAAACTATTCTGACTATATACTAATGAATGTAAAGGAGCTTTGTGGAGCTTTAGAGCTCCAAAAAGCTCCTGGAGCTCTAGGAGCTTTCGAAGCTCCCAGGGCTCCTTATCACGTGATTAGGATCAGACTATATGTCCGAGCTTGCTAAAGGTGGGGAGACCACATGAGGCGATTACCATACAAATTTGTATACGAATCGCCTTGCTTTTCGATAAGGCCTAAGCTTATATGGACACGTTGACTGCTGCCCCTCAACATATCCTTATCTTAATCGTAAATCGTGACAGTATGATTAGTAGTTGTAGGTTAAGGTTAATAATCACTGGTTATTCACTCGAAGGTGAATACATTACTAGATCAATTGGAATATAGATAAACTAATTGATAACTAAGTTGAATACAAAGCTTTTAAACTATGAAACTATTCTGACTATATACTAATCCATTTCGGGAGCCTCCAGGAGCCTACGCTCCTAGAGGCTCCATCACGTGACTAGGATCAGACCATATGTCCGAGCTTGCTGAAGGTGGGGAGATTATATGAAGCGGTTGCTATACAAATTTGTATACAAGTTGCTTTGCTTTTCAGGGAGGTCCAAGCTCATAAGGACAGGTTGACTGTTACCCTGTAACATTCTATAAAATGATTTCGTGACATCAAAATCAAGAAAGTTAAAAAACCCTTGAATTATAAATTAATATTATCAAAAAATATAAATATATATTCAATATTCTATATATCTTTATTCGAATTAATACTTTCAGAAATACTAAAAGTTTTTGAAATAGAAATTATATCTATAAATCAAAATATCAAATACAAAATAAAGAAAATACTAAATTATAAATATATTAAAAACAAAATCAAATACTTGATAAAATAAAAAGATTATTCTAATTCTGAAAAAATATAGAAATTTGAAAAAGAAATTAAATATTGTAAAAAAATTGGAATTATAAATTAAATATATAAAGGTTTTAACTAGTCAATCATATAATCTTTTGTAATTAAATATAAAAAAAAAATCTTTTGTCTTTTCTTTTTACAATAATCAACCTTTTACATATATATATTTGAATCTATATAATATCAACCCTAAAACTATTATAAATTCTGTTTTATTTATAAGTGATATATTACAATATAATCTAATTCAACTTTCTTTTTTAATTTCTTTCTTATAATATATTATTAGGATATACATATCTCGACCTACCACTTTTATAATATTTAAAAAGGTTCTAAGAGTTTCATTAATAGAATCCAGATTTACTTAAAAAGAAAAAGAATTCATTATTTTCTATAAAGAAGAATCGAAAGAATTGAATTCATTTATAGAAATTTCGTTGAAATTAATAAAATCAATTAATAATTAATCAAATTGATTAAGGATTAATTGATCAAATTAATCAAATTAATCAAATTGATCAAATTAATCAAATTAATTAAATTAATCAGAAAACAATAAAAGAATTACAAGAATTTCTTTATTTTTTTCTTTTCACTTTTTTTCTTCAAGAATATTAAATTCATCAAAATATTTGAATCTATAATATAACATTTCATTACATCGTTTTTTGAATTACATCTTTTGTTTAACAAGACAAATAATCTTAATAAAAAATTCAACGATTTCAATATCTAATTTATTGATCTATCGATCAAAACTCTCCCAATCATATTCTCGAGGAATTTCACAATCCTAATCATCTTTTAAACGAAACTCAACATTATATAAAACAGAATTTCATATATATTCCAAATAATACAAACAATATTTATCAAAGAGATCCTTAATATAACAACAATTCTTCTATCGATAATAAAAACAAAAAATCATTTCAATATCAATAAAATCGATAATTGTAGTTAAACATATATATTCCTTTTTCTTTTTTCAAATTAAATTATTGAAGAAATCAGAATTGTTTATAATAAAAAAAGAAAAACGAATAAAATATAAAAGAAGAAAAAATATTAATTATCAAATGAAACTCAAAAGGTTATAAATAATTGAGATAATATTTAATTAGAAAAGAGATAGTATTACAATTTATAATTAAGATTATAATATATTGAAAGGTAATAATCAATTTGTTTATATAAATTTAGATTTTATCGAAAAACAGAGCGATTTGTATATAAATTTGTATAGTAATTGTTTCATATAATCTTTTTATCTTTAATAAGCTTAGATATATAATCTAATTTTAATTATATAATAAAAAGCTTTAGAAGCTTTGAAAGCTTTTAGAGTTTTAAAAGCTTTTTTGAGTTTTAAAACTTTACAAAGTTTTTTTATATTTATTAATATATAATCAGAATAGTTTTATAGTTTAGAAACTTCATATTCAATTTAATTATCAATTAGTTTATCTATATTCCAATTGATCTAATAATATATTCATCTTTAAGTGAATAATCAGTGATTATTAACCTTAATCTATAACTATCAACTTGTCACGAAATCATTTTATAGAGTGTCACGAGGCAACAGTCAACCTGTCCTTATGAGCTTGGACCTCCTGGAAAAGCGAAGCAACTTGTATACGAATTTGTATGGCAACCGCTTTATATGGTCTCCCCACCTTCAGCAAGCTCGGACATATAGTCTGATCCTAATCATATGATGAAGCCTCGAGGAGTCTATACTCTTAAGGGCTTTAAGGAGCCTACAGGAGCCCATGCTCCTAAAGACTCCCGAAATGGATTAGTATATAATCAGAATAGTTTTATAGTTTAAAAGCTTCATACTCAACTTAATTATCAATTAGTTTATCTATATTCCAATTGATTTAATAATGTATTCACCTTCGAATGAATAATCAATGATTATTAACCTTAACCTACAACTACCAACTATACGAAAACCTGAGGCAGCCGCTGCCTCGACCAGATCGTTACACAACTATACGAAACCAGAGGCAGCCGTTGCCTCAATCAGATCGTTACACAACTCTAAAATGGAAACTTTTTAAAAGTACTTTGATTTTAATAATGCTTATATAAATTTAGAAACATTTAAAACCGAAAATAATATTTATAATAAATCAATATTTATCAATTTAATAATATATATTTCTATTAATAAAGCTTACAAGAAAAAAAACAATAAAATAAAACTATTAAATAAAACTAAATATATTAACAAAAGAATCTTAAAAGATAATTCAAATTGATTTAAGAATAAATATATTAAAGATTCTATATATTTACTATCAGAATCATTTTCAAAATATTTAATATTACATTTCGATTTTCGATCTAAAGATTTCTGTTTGACATTTGAAAAATTGAAATAACTAGATATAAAAGATATTCTTTTAATTCAAGAAAAAAAACTTCTTATTACACTTCTAATAAATCGAGAAATTATACTAATATTCGATTAATCTGAAACCAGATCAATTAAACCATCTATTGCCCCCTTACAAATCATTAAAAAAATTCTATATAAAACTTAATAAACAATTAGATTTATTCTATCCAAAACATTTCTATCAATTACAATTGATATAATAAAAGAACAAATCAAATAAAGTATATTTGAATAAAAAGATAGATTTTATTATAATCTATAATATCTAATCAAGAAAAGTAAAGTTAGAAAATATCGAATTATTATAATTATAACAAAAGCAAA